CCAAAATGAATACGTGTTTTGAGTTACTGTATTGTAACCAAAACACTGAAATTTTACTTTTACAGTAGCGAAATTGAAATGATACCACAAAAGTCTGATAGAAATTATTCTAGAGAGGTTTGAAAATAAAAATTAAGAGACAAAATTAACTTATAAACATTATGAGAAGAGACAGTAGATAAAAATATTGATTTGTCTTATCATTCCAGCTCAGTCTATTCTTATAGTCGAAAAGTTCCTACCTGCAGCATTTCCAGTAAAGTTTTTTTTTAAACCACTAAATTAAAAAACGTCGCTGTCCACCATGAACGTTAATTTCAAAAAAGTCGATAGTTAGGACTGCCTCAACATTCCACTTATTTTAAATTGTTCAAGTTGGTAAAAGGGTTTTTTGTGTACATGTATGTATGTGTGCATGTAAGTCTACAGAGGAGCAGATCACTAGCTTTCTGCTTTATTTCACTGGAGCAATAAACGCAAAAGGAGCATTAGCTGAATCTAAGTAGGTATGATAAAGTTACCACAATCTAATTGAAGAGTCTTCAGAAGCTTTTATCTTTCTAAACTAGTCCAGCTTTAATGTTTATTTTGCAAGCTGTAGAGTAACTCTACCCTGATCAAAGGGAAAACTTAAAAGCAGCTGCTCAATTGTACATATATGTGCAGTCCTGTTAAGTCAATAAGGCTGTTTGCATTCTTAAAGTCAAATACTGGTCCACGTTACAATTACACAGTTGAAGATACTAAGCTTCTCATGGCTGTAAAGGCAAAGGGCAGTTTAAATGTTATCAAACGACTTTTTGACACTGAATAACCAGGTGACACAGTGGAAGACAAATTAAAAGGAAAAATAACGCATATAGGGAAAACAATTTAATTTTACATACAAAATGATGAGTTCTAAAGCACAGCAACATAATACCCTCATCTAACAATACAGGATATAAGGGTGGAATCCAAAGTTCCCAGAGAAAAGTATTGACGGAAGATTTGCACACCGTGCAGTATGTTTAATGCTTTATCACACCCCTAAGAGGAGGAATTCAGTAAGCTAAGTTGGAAAAGCTTTTTTTTTCCCTTCTGAACTGTGCATTACTTGAGAGGATGGAGATTTTGAGGTTATAATAGGTTTACAAAAGCAACAACCCAGTGCTCAATATCAATTATAGAAGCAAATAAAAATTCAGAAAAGCAAGCAAGGAAGGAAGCACAAACAAACTAAATAGGAAACAACTATGTCACCATGGAAATCCATGGAGTGTCCTATCTTGAAGCCTGCACGTGGATCTAGTTGTCCCATCACAAAAACAATATTGCAGAACTAAAAAGGTCAGAGAAGACTAAAAATAATAAAAGCCTAGGTACACACTACGGACTACGGAGACATGCTATTGGGCTAAACAACAGTTATTATAAACCGTTCTCTCTCATGAGGATATAAAAAGCTCACAGAAAGGGTATGAGTTACAGTCTGCTAAAATCTGGGGTAATGGTTTTGTTAAAACTGTCAAATGACAGCAGTATATTATGATTATTGACTAAACGTCACTTATTTACCATTCTCCCTTGGCTGCACAGCAATGGAAAGTGAGCCTACTACTTGGCATTTCATTGCAATCATATCTTTACCATTTCACTATGTTATATAACTTCAGTAAACTTGGTATCCAGTCTTACTTAATTAAATGTCAATTAAAATGGTCTTAAGGTTCAAGGAAATATTTAACATGTCTTGATACACTTCCTTAAGGCCTTTATCACAGTAAGCTTTTGCTCTGTAGGTATGACAGCTTCATATTTTAAGACGACACAGATAAACGAAAAGAAATAGGACTTGTGATGGAAAATGGTTGCTACCACTTTGTCAATGTAATGATAGTTTTTGCTTGAATGGAACATATACTGTCTCCTAGGCACAGTTTTGAAAAAGAGCTGTTTCTTTTCCCAGCAATATATCCACATTTAAAGAGATAATAAACACTACCGTTTTGGGGAGCGCTAGTATTAAGGAGAGCTGCATCCCCATATATAACAATTGTTAGCTTTGTATGAATAACTAATATATCTGTGTTACATAAAGAACAACATCATCTCTTCTGTGAAAAGTTCTTAAATCTACACATAGCAAATGAGTAATGTGGGAAAATTCACGAGCATATTTCTCCAGCAGACCTCATTAAACTCTGTATATGCTATGCTTTGCATTAAAAAACATAACGTAGTCTTCCATTCAGAATGCGATGAAGTTATGCAATGCTCTTTACTAACAGACAAATCGAACAATACCTAAAAAACGAAACATGGCCCACCGATGTCTCTTCACAAAGCTGGCAGATCCCAGTCAGAATTGTTTTCCCAGCAGATAATACGTGCCAGGCAACACAAAATGCTAAATGCTAAATGAGACACCTTTCATACAGGACTTCTAACCAGAACATCTGACAACATATTAAATCATCTACTAGAATTCCCATCTCCGTGCGACTCTAGCATAGGACTGCAGTTAAGGCAAAAAAGTAGCTACATGGTCTGAGCCTCCCTGGCTGAGCTATTAAGTATTTTCTTCACAATTCTCCTTACATTTTCTGTAAAATAATCCAGCAGTTGTACCTATGAAGATGAACCCACACTGAGCACTTCAGGGGACATCGGTTTTCAAACACAACGCTGATAGTGAACTTAGCAGATGAAATCTCAGCTCTTGTGAAGACAGAAGTGCATTGACTTCATTGTATCTGTGACTTGACTCATAATAACTGTATTTCACTGCGATCATTTTAATAGACATTCACTACTCTGCAGACAGAGAGCTCAAGTATAATGATTGCCATTTGCTTCTTCCTTTGGCTTGAACATTATAATTTAGTCACATGGTGCTCTGCTCTCTGAGGGAATCATGACCTAGATAGGTAGAACAAATTGGTTTGACAGAAGATTACTTGCTTGGTAACCTTGGGCAAAGTCAATCCCCTGCAGCACTTTTTTTTTTTTTTTTTAATGACAAGTGACAAAACCCACAAATCTTACAATAGCCATACAAACACAGGTACGTTTTTGTAATGCCCTTTGACGGAAAAAGCTTGGTAATAATTCAAAGCATTGGAATCAGAAATAGCATTTTCAGCAAGGCCAGCTACTGTCAAGGCAGGAAATTATTTAAATTTAATTTTTTGCCAAATTCATTGGGAAGTAAAATGTTGTTTACCATAGATCTATAATACTTACTAAAAATATGACTTTATTGCAGACTGACAGAAGAAACTGCTTAGTAGAGTAAAACTAAGGCTACCTGGCGCACAATCTGATCAATCTGGAAAAAATAACTCTAAACCAGATATCTGGTGTTCTCCAACACATGTAAAAAGAAAGTGTATCACATATAAAGTCAACAGGAATAACATTTTGTATAGAAATAAGGAAATTACAGCTTCAGGTGAAATATGACCTTTTCAAACCCACTTAAAAACGTGAAATTCTGTCTTTGTTTAAAATTATACCACATCTATCACCTCTATATGCTGTATAAAAATCACAGAATAATTTAGGTTGGAAAAGATCTCTAGAAGTTACCAGGTCCAACCTCCTGCTCAAAACAAGCCCAACTATATTAGGCTGTGCAGCGCCTGAGCAAAGGCATTTTGAATATCTCCAAAGATCAAGATACAGCAACCTCTCTAGGAAACCCATTTGAAAGACTGACTGCCCTCAGAGTGAAATTTTTTCCTCATTTTTTTCCTCCAATTTTAGTTGGAAATTACCTTGTTGCAACTTGTGCTCATTGCCTCTTGCCCCCACACTGTGCACCTCTGAGAAAAGTATGACTCAGTCCTCTTTGTATACTGCCACTAAGTAGATCTAGAAAGCAATACGATCCCACCCCAGTTGTCTCTTGTGAAGCCTGCAGAAACCCAGTTCTCTCACCTTCTCCTCATACATCATGGACTCAAGCCCCCTAACCATCACAGCTGCCTTCTTCCAGCATGTCAATATCTTTTTTACACTTAGCAAAACCGAACACAGTACTCCAAAAGCAAACGTCAAACACAGGGTACTTCCCTCATCCAACCTAAAATTTAGTTCTAGTTCACTGCACGGAGATACAGCCTTAAACAACTTCAGCAAAAGCATGAAAGAATGTAAACCAAATAAACCTACAGGTTATAAACATCTTGCCTCAGAAGAATGGAAAATCCACTAAAAATAGATCCATGTATTAACTTCATTTTTTTTAAACAGTTTTATTTATTCAAGTGTCTTGACAACATAACAGGTTTGAAAGTTTCTGAAAATATTAAAGTTCAGATTGTTAAACAGGTAGGCACCTAACTTACTGATTTTACTCAGTGCCCAAACATATTTGAAGATCCAGGCTAAGGCGGTTTAGGAGAACAAGTTCCACTTTCAGTGACTTTAAAGCCTAAGGTTACTGAAAAAGAAAATACGGTGCTTTGAAAAAGTCTACCTACATGCACAACCAATTACTGTATGAATCAGTCAGATTGGTTCTCAAATCACTGTAATCTGTATTCAGCTCAACATTTATGTATACTTTGCATTTTAAGGCACAAGAGGGGACATACGAGTAGATTATGTCAGCAACTCATTCCCAAGCTACATCACAGAAAGAAGGAAAAAAGTTGTGCTGAGTTAAGAGGTCCTCATATCAACCAGTCATAAAAGCATTTATGAAGGAGTAAACTGGATTAAACTGCTATCTTAATATAGTCAGAACCACCCTCAAATTTTTACACTGTTGATAAACTAGATTAAAACAAACAAATCACACACACAGGAGAACAAACATGCACTCTTCACTAACACTTTGCAATATAGTACCTTAAATGGCAACATATTTAACACACCAAGAAAGAAGATCTCAAAACAGAACTGCAGATGAAGATATTTCCTAACTTTGCAGCGGATAAAACTAACAGCATGGTTCAATTACCACAGCTATAACTGGCCTCCAACAGCTATATTTTACAAAAGAGTTTCCTTACCTTGTCCATAATGCTTTACACAGTCAACATTTTCTGCTGAAAATGGAAGTGCTGTAGAGTTAAAATACAAGATATACACAAGGGAGTATTAAGGATATAGGTAGGGTGATTAGAACTTTTTAGGGTTAGTTATAAAATGTGTTTAGATATTTGTAGGTGTTTATTAACTTGTTGTAAGTGACTAGTACTCTGGTTTATCTGTTGCATTGCTGATACTAATCCTGAACATATAGTTCACTGATTGCTGGTTAATTACAACACATTAATACATTAATAAACTGCTTTTGATCCTGATTCAGTTTCAGCCACATGAACTGAGCAGTTTTTCCCTGCAAAAATCATTAATATAAGTTGATGAATGCATCACTCTTCACATTCATTTCTAGAACTCCTTAGCAGTTGTACAATGATAACAGAAAACAAACACGCTCATTT